CTCCCCACCACCCCCAGCCACCTCGCCATGTCAGGACTAAGCTTTAAGGGTCTCAAGACCAGCCTCAGGGCTCGGCTGGTCAGTGTCACAGCAAAGGTAGGACTTGAACTGGGCCTCCAGCTAATACCCTTTCCAGTGCCCACACCCCTCCAGTGAGGGGCTCGCTCCATTCCCTGTGGTCACTTGACAAGCTGAACCCTGATCAGGGACTTCCTGTTCTTCCTCTCACCCTCTGTTACCCACTCCTCCTCACTCACCGGTTTGGTTGCCCCCTCTGTGCTCCTCTCGTTCCGAGGTGGGTCCTTGCTACTCCTGCTTTTGGTGGACGCCATCTGTCTGCCTCGGCCAGGGGCGCTGGCCTCCACCTCGCCAGCGTCCACACCACTGTCCTCACTCAGAGTCTGCCCACTGTCCGAGAGCTGAGAGAGTGTGGAGGCTGCTGGCGGGGGGGGGGGGGGGGGGGGGGGAGGAGAATGTGATTTATACAGTTGGGATCAGGGAGGGCTTCCTGGAAGAGGTGATGAAGCTGCAGACTGGAAGGCTCGCGGGGATTCCCTGGGCAAAGACTGGATGGTTGGGGATAGCTGGAGGGTACCACTCTTTTACCCACTGAGACCTGCCCTTCCAACTGGGCCTGGCCCCAAGGCTGCCACTTCCAGGATGTCTGCCCTGACTGCCCCTGGTGTAATGATTAGAACAGAGATCAGGGAGCAAACCCAGCCCACAGATGTGGGGTTATTGTTTTTTAAACACATACAATGCTGTCAGTTTTTAATGGTGGATCAACACATTCAAATTAGGAGATTTCACATAAAATTTAAATTTCTAGCTTCTTGAGAAAAAAAAAGGAAGTTCTTCCATGCCTGGTCTGCACCCCTGCACAACCCCAACTGGCCAGAGCTGAGTGTGGACACATGCCCCTCTGGTTCCCCGGTCAACTCCAGCTGCTTCACTATGTGTGTGATGGCCTAGTCCCTGAGTCTGAGACCCTGCATCAAGAACACACACTCTTAAGTCTGGCAGGTTGGATAGGAATTCCCTCTGACCAGCTGTGCAACGCTGGGCAAGTGACACAGTCTCTCTGAGCCTCCATGTCCTTGTGCTATTCAGAAGCAATGACGCCTCTCCAATGGGGTTCCCATAAAGACCAACAGATACGACGTACAGAGTGAAGCAGTCAAGAGAGCAGACGTGTGCTAGACTGCCTGGCTCCACAGTTACTTTCTGTGCCTCTTCATCTATGAAATAGGGGTTATAACAGTACCAGCCTCACAGGACTGTTGGGGGTGATGAGTTGCTAAAATAGGCAAAGTCCCTAGAACAGTGTCCAGCGCAAGACGGTGCTGTACAATGGTTAGCCCTTATAATCATGCGCATCCAGCTCAGTGCCAGGTCTCGAAGCAGCAGTGATCCAAGTATGACAGCTCGGGTTTCTCACCACATCCCGCCTGCTCTCCCTCAGCTGCCTCCCCTCACCAAGCCACTGCGCGCAGGGACTCTGCACTCTGCATCCTAGTCGGCCCACTGCATGGCACACAGCAGACACTCAGTAAGGGTCCCCTGACCGGTCCACCACCTTCCAGGCCATAGGGGGGCCACCCCACATATCACTTTAACCACAAGATGGCAGCAGCATCCAACAAATGTGCCCAACTCTGCAGGAGGAGGGGAGCCTGCCCAGGGCTCAGGCTTCCTCCCCTCCCTCCACCTCCTTGTCTGGAAACTCCCGGGGCCGCAGCCTGGGGCTGGCTTCCTGGGTTCCTGGTAGGTCCATCCTGCACTCTGACCCTGCAGCCACAAGTCAGGAGACCCCCAGGGGCCCACTGTCCCCTAGCACCTTCTCCGTGGCAAGTCCTGGGGGACGAAGATTGCAGGAGCCACCCCTGCCCTCAACAAGCTCAGTCTCTGGGGAGGCTGGTAGGTGAATGCAAGGTGACGGGGTTGGAGGCTCAGGAGGGGGAGCCCCACCCGCACAGCAGCCGGCAGGGCTGTCACTGCCACCTCCAGTCGAGGATGGGGAGGCGGCTCAGAGAGGCACAGTAGCAGGCCCACAGTCACACAGCTGGTACACGGCAGAGTCAGGACTCACACTCGTGTGTCTGACTCCAAAGCCACTCAGTGTGGGCACAGGACCCTGTTCCCCAGCCACCCTCACCCTGGGGGGAACACCGGGGCTAGGAGACCCCTCGCTGGGTGAGCACCTGTTAACCTTCACTGTGCAGGTGGGCAGATCAACCCAGAGAGGACGAACCCCCAAGATCACACAGCAGCCCCGCAGCCCAGCCCCCAGTGTCTGCTGGTACTCACTGCGAGCCTGGGGCAGCGCCCTCACTTCGTTCACGTCGGGCTCGCTGTCCGGGCGGTGCACCTCCACCATGACGTAGTGCTGGTTTGTGCCTGTCTGGTCTGGGCGCCCCGAGGGGGAGGGTGGTGGGAGGCAGCCCCCAGCCAGCGTGGTCTCTGTGGGGGGACTTCTCAGGTGCGGGGGTGACTGGACCCGTGGGAAGGGGCCAATGGGGTGCTGGTTGACCAGGGCCAGATGGGCATCCAGCGGCCGCTTGGCGCCAGGGTTGGCAGGGGAGATGGAGGCGTAGATGGGGGAGGAGGGCGAGTCCTGCGCTGAGGGGGCCTCTGGGGCGGGTGCGGTGCCAGCCGGAGGGCTGCGGTTCTGCGGAGCCGAGAAGACTATGCCCGAGTGGGAAGAGGCGGAGGAAGGTGGCTTTTGGTCTTGACTTCCGAGCTTCTTCGGCTGGGCGAGGGGTGGTGGGGGAGGAGGCAGCTTGTAGCCAGACAGCCCCTCGGCCGTGGACTTGACTTCATCCTGCCAAAAGACCCAGCAGGAGTAGAAGGAGTCAGAGCCCATTGCGGCTGGAAGAGGGGAGATCGGACAGCAGAGTGGGCCCGGCCCGGCTGGAATTCCGTCCCAGCTCTATCAGCTCTTGGCCACACTGCGCTGAATAATGCAACACCGAGTGGAAAACTTCTCCCAGCATCTCGGCAGCTGATAAGCCTGGAGATCCTGGCTGCGTCTCTGGGGACGGCACCGTTACCTTTGGGAATTGAAGCCCTTGGCATCAGCCAGGGCTTGTCACAGGGAACGAGACATAATTACAGCCGGGATGCGCAGGTGGAAAAACAATAAAGGCATTTCTCTGGCTTTTCTTTTTAGGAGATTGTTTTAGCAACTAGAGACGGGAGGTGTGACAGGACTGGAGGCAGCGAGAGTGTGGACAGGAGGAAGGCAGATGGGCTGGGGTGCTGTGTGGCCCCGGGCGCAACACTGCACCTCTCTGAGTGCGCCCCTGGGCAGTGGGGGAAGCCACCTGCCTGCAGAGCTGTGGGATGTGAGGGGGGAGGCGAAGAGCGGGTTAGCAAGGTGCCTGCCGCCCAGCAGGTGCTGGGTGAGTGGCAGCTACGGATACTGTCATTACTCTTCCCCCTCCGCCTGTGCCAATATCCGACACTATAGCTCTACGGCAGCACGGGCCCTGTTCCAAAAGCTTTCCCTAAAGTAGCTAGTTTACCTGTTGCCGCCGACTTACGGGTTAGGTACACTCTTCTTACCCTCATTTTACAGGTGGGGAAACTGAGGCACGGAGCGGCCCAGAAACTTGCCTGGAGTCACTCAGTCAGTGGCAGAGGTGGCATTTGAACCCAGGCAGCCTGGCTCCAGAGCCCAAGCCATCCAAGAGTTATTTGGGTCAGAATCACAAAGTGATCTAGACTGCTGCTGTGTGCACCTGGGCCAAAGGTCATGTTCAACTTCCATTTCCATCCCAGTCACGTGACCTCTTCAGGGCGTTCTGCCATGCGCTCCATGTTTCGGTGTTTGCTATGCGAACGTTCAGACAAAGTGACACCAACTGGGGAAGCGAACAGCATGACAGCCCCACCTAAAACGCCTGGAAGGAGCCGTCCTGGTGGTGCTAGAGAGAGGGGAGGGCACACTGTGCACAGGCCTGGGACTGCATCTGAACGGCCCAGTCCTCTGTCCTCTCCCACTGGCTTTTACCAAGAAGCCGGCCCCCAGGGCCCACACAGACGATGGAGGGCAAAACACAAGGAAAGGGCCAGGGAGCCTCTTACCAGGGAAACATCTGGGAGGGCGTTCATATTGCCCTGGACGGCCTGGCCCGTTTCCTCCAGGTCCAGAGTGTTCTAGAAATGGAGGAGGAGACAATGTGAGCAAACATAAACCAAGGGGGGGAACCAGTTTGCTCTCTAGACTCCAGGTCTATGGCCCCTACGCCACCTGCACGTGGTTTATGTGACTCCTGACGGTCCCACTCCGCTGGGATTTATTTTATGCATTAAAATTAATGTCAGTTTCCTTGCTAGTCATTTTAAAATCAATTTCCTTTGAGACCCGCTATTTCCAGGCCTCCCCGGGACAACCTGGAGATGCTGTGGGGTGGCTCTGACCTTTACTGGGAATTCCTGAAGCTCGGTGCTGCTCAATACCCTCAGTACCTCCAAACCAAGGCTTCTCTCTGCTGCTCCCTCACAACCCCAGGCGGGTGTGCAAGTGGCAAGATGCAAATGAGAGGCGGATGGGGAAAGTCTCTCTCCCGGGATGCGCAGGATGGAAAAACAATAAAGGCATTTCTCTGGCTTTTCTTTTTAGGAGATTGTTTTAGCCACTAGAGACGGGAGGTGTGACAGGACTGGAAGCAGTGAGTGTGGACAGGAGGAAGGCAGACGGGCTGGGGTGCTGTGTGGCCCCGGGCGCGGCACTGCACCTCTCTGAGTGTGCCCCTGGGCAGTGGGGGAAGCCACCTGCCTGCAGAGCTGTGGGATGTGAGGGGGGAGGCGAAGAGCGGGTTAGCAAGGTGCCTGCCGCCCAGCAGGTGCTGGGTGAGTGGCAGCTACGGATACTGTCATTACTCTTCCCCCTCCGCCTGTGCCAATATCCGACACTATAGCTCTACGGCAGCACGGGCCCTGTTCCAAAAGCTTTCCCTAAAGTAGCTAGTTTACCTGTTGCCGCCGACTTACGGGTTAGGTACACTCTTCTTACCCTCATTTTACAGGTGGGGAAACTGAGGCACGGAGCGGCCCAGAAACTTGCCTGGAGTCACTCAGTCAGTGGCAGAGGTGGCATTTGAACCCAGGCAGCCTGGCTCCAGAGCCCAAGCCATTCAAGAGTTATTTGGGTCAGAATCACAAAGTGATCTAGACTGCTGCTGTGTGCACCTGGGCCAAAGGTCATGTTCAACTTCCATTTCCATCCCAGTCACGTGACCTCTTCAGGGCGTTCTGCCATGCGCTCCATGTTTCGGTGTTTGCTATGCGAACGTTCAGACAAAGTGACACCAACTGGGGAAGCGAACAGCATGACAGCCCCACCTAAAACGCCTGGAAGGAGCCGTCCTGGTGGTGCTAGAGAGAGGGGAGGGCACACTGTGCACAGGCCTGGGACTGCATCTGAACGGCCCAGTCCTCTGTCCTCTCCCACTGGCTTTTACCAAGAAGCCGGCCCCCAGGGCCCACACAGACGATGGAGGGCAAAACACAAGGAAAGGGCCAGGGAGCCTCTTACCAGGGAAACATCTGGGAGGGCGTTCATATTGCCCTGGACGGCCTGGCCCGTTTCCTCCAGGTCCAGAGTGTTCTAGAAATGGAGGAGGAGACAATGTGAGCAAACATAAACCAAGGGGGGGAACCAGTTTGCTCTCTAGACTCCAGGTCTATGGCCCCTACGCCACCTGCACGTGGTTTATGTGACTCCTGACGGTCCCACTCCGCTGGGATTTATTTTATGCATTAAAATTGATGTCAGTTTCCTTGCTATTTTCTTTTGAGGCTTGCTCTTTCCAGGCCTCCCCGGGACAACCTGGAGATGCTGTGGGGGGGCTCTGACCTTTACTGGGAATTCCTGAAGCTCGGTGCTGCTCAATACCCTCAGCACCTCCAAACCAAGGCTTCTCTCTGCTGCTCCCTCACAACCCCAGGCGGGTGTGCAAGTGGCAAGATGCAAATGAGAGGCGGATGGGGAAAGTCTCTCTCTCTCTCCCTCTCTCTCTCCCTCTTCCTCCCTCCTCATCCCTCCCTCCCTCTTCTAATTTTAATGGTTCCAACAGCGGGGTGGGGGGGGGAGGGGGGTGGTTAAGGTTTCAATGGCTGTTACTTGGCAAAAATGCCCATTTCCTCCTTCCTTCCCTAACTCACCAGAAGAAGCCTCATGCTCTCTCAAGCGACACTGAGCTGCCGAAAGGCCATCTCTAGGCCTTTCCTGGGAGGCCAAGCAGTGCTCCTCTCTAAACTGGGCTCTCCTGAGGGCTCTAGGAGCCGTTTCTCCACCTGCACAGAACCCAGGATGGCAAAGCCTCCATGACCAACTCCTAGCTCAAGTCTCAAGTGCAGAGATCAATACTGACCCAGTCATCTCAGTGCTCCATACAGACAGGGGCTGGGACACAGAGGAGGTTAGACATGACCCCTGCCTTCAGCTGCTTAAAGACAGTGGGGTTGACACAAACAAGCACAGAGGACACTGTGCACAGAGTGAGGAAGCACAGGCGTATAATGCAGCGAGGGAGGGGTTATCAGGGAAGGCTTTCTGGAGGAGTGAGCATGGATGAAAGCTGAGTCTTGTGGGTAAGCTGGGCAAAGGAGGGAAAGATGGGTGTTTCAGAGGGTAGGTCATACATAAAGCAGAAAGGTAGAGGATGTTTGAGAATCTTCCAGCGGTTCCACATGAGTCAAGCACGGAGCTACTTGGACCTGCAGGCAGTGGGTTGCTGGGGAGACACAGGTCAAGTTTGCCTTCTGCGAAGTTCCCCTTCGCACGATTTCTCTCAAGCCACACTAGAACAATGCAGGCATGTCGGGCCTCCATACAGCTCTTCCTTCTGCTTGGAACGTTCTTCTATTCACGAAGCACGCTCAACTCGCTCACTTCCTTTAAGACCTTACTGAAATACCACCTCCCACCGGAAATCACAAGCCCCACCCCCAACCCTGCTTTATTTTTCTCCTTTGCACTGATCACTATTCTTCACCCAGCAGCCAAGATGTAATCTTTGAAACACAAGTCAGATAATGTCCCTCCCAGCTCATAACCCTTTAGGCCTTTCCTTCCTACTTGGAGGAAATTCCAAACTCTGTACTCATCCTGCTACTCCCCCTGCCAACAGGATGGAATGGTTCTGCCTCAGGGCCTTTGCACTCACTGCTCCCTCTGCCCACAGGGCTACTGGCTCTTCCCTTACTTCATTTAGTTCTGACTCAGCGAGGCCTTCCTGGACCAGCCCTGTCTAAAACAGCATCCTGACACACACCCCCACCTTCCCCCCACACACACACACATGCCCCACTCTAACCCCTGGCCCTGTTTTTCTATATAAGACTGATCACCAATCACCACCTAATGTTATACTATTAATGTGCTTATTGTCAGTAGGATAAACAGTCCTAAGAGGCAGGATTTGTAACTTCCTGGTCCCTACTCTGTCCTCGGTGTTCAGGATAGTGGCTGCTTGATAAATATTTATTAAGCAAATTAATGAGTCCACAAGTGGACTGAGGAGTAAATGAATCAGCCAATCGCTCTGGCTGTCACGGGGAGGAGGCCTACGCAGGCAGAGAATGGAGTGAGGTGGCTACCGCTCACCACGGGGAGCTGCACAGTGGCCTGGATGAGGGTGAGGGCAATGGGAGGGGATGGAAGGGCAGAGGCTGCTGGGTCATCCTCACGGACCCCCATCTCCAGGGCTCCTCCCGAAACCTTGAGCATTCTGGGTGGGCCAAGGGCACACGATCATGGGAACCCACCAATGGACAGGATGCTCGGCCCTCCCGGCTCTGAGCCTCTCACTCCCAGGGCTCCTCATCTGGTCCCATGATGCCTCTCGTGCAAACTCAGGCTGGAACGACTGCCCCATTTCCCAATAAAGCTGAGGCTCCCCTGACGGGCGCCTGCTCTCTCCAGCCCCGTCCCCTGCACGCCGCCTCCCAGGAAGATGCTGCTGAGGGCCTCAGTGATGCCAGGACAGTTGGGGGTTCCCCGGGAGGTGGAGTGATGAGGTTGCTCTCTCACCCACTGACTAGCGACACCGGCTCTGGCTTCTTTGAGATCACACCCAGCTCTGCCGCTTCAGCTGACGGGTGGTGGGCAAGTCACTGAACTGCTCTGTGCCTCAGTTTCCTCATCTGTAAAACTGGGTCACAGCAATCCCTCCCTCATGGGGTTGATATAGTCACACCTAAAAAAATGCTCAGAACAGAGCCTGGCACAATATACAGGGGGAGACGGCTGTTACACCAGACGTCTGAGATCTTGCAAATGAGCCTCAGAGACGGAATAGCTGCAGAACGCGCCCTGGCCCCATAGGAACACCTCGGCGGAAAGGAAGCCGCAGCCCTCGCACACAACCCCCTCCAAACGCCGACATGTGACGCGTCCAGTGCTTCCTGGAAACAGTCCAGCAGGCACCACCGCCAGCCACAGTTAAGGTGAATGGCGAGGTGGGGCTGGGTACATGCAGTGACTTCCCGAGGGTTGGCAGTCACAATCCTGACCTCGGCAGGTGACAGGAAGAGTGTCAGAAGCCTGGGACACGCCTACCGCAAAGACCAGAGGGGCCCCCAGCACCGTCCAATGCAGCACTGTCACCTGCCCCCGGATTCCACCTGCAGCCACGCTGGAGACTCGGGTGACAGTCCTGGTGGGACCGAGACACAGGATGCTCTCCTGTGCTGACACATTCGGAACTTGTAGCAGTTACTTAGTCACTCAACAAGTATTTATCAGGCAGCCCTGACTTATGGAGAAGACCCCGGAGATAAAAGATGAGTGGGCCCCTGTGTCCCCAACACCAAGCAGAGGGCCACACACACGGCAGCTGCTCTAGAATTCTTGTTCAGGATCCATGGCGGGGCTGGCAGTTGGGGAAGGGCCCAGAGCCTAAGAACAAGCATGTGTGCTGGACATACAGGGGAGGCATGACTTTCTCTGAGGAGATCAGAGAACTACAAACTGGAGGGCCTACTGTGTGCCAGGCACTTCAGTTAGTGGGCACATCACGTATGTGACCTCATTAGATTTCCAGTGTGAGACAGGCACTAAGATCTCCCCCAGTTCCCATCTTCTAGACATACGTCCAGAGAGGGCAGTGGCTTGTCCAAGGCCACACAGCCATTGTACAGATCAGGTTTCTAACCCAGGCCAGGGGGACCCCAAAGCCCACGCAGCCGCTACCTGGCCCAGAATTGGATAGGGCCCTGCTACTGTAGGAACTAGAGGGCCCCAGGAGTGGCTCTCTCTGGACCAAGAGAGAGCACAGCCATTGTTGGCCCCTGGTCTCTGCCATTCTCTGCTATTAATGGGATCCTGGAGCAAGACTGAGGGCAGGGATGGAAGGCGGAAGGGGAGGGAGGAGCAGGACAAATGGCCAGCCCTGGGAGGGAGGCCTGAGTGGAGCAAATGGCAGACGGGTCGGAGCCCAGCCCTGCCAGACTCCATCTGTCGAATCCAGACGCTCAGGAGCCCCGAGTCCCCAAGCCATGTTCCTTGTGCATCTGAAATAGCTGCAGACAGCAGGCTAAGAGCCCGGGGATGCGTCAGCAGAAACGCTCGGGGAAGAGGCTTCGAGAGGAGGATCAAGGTCAGAGCTCACAGGGAGTCGGCATGAGCATCTTGGCCACCCCTCCCCCCCAGCTTCTTGGGGCCCCTTTTCTCCTGCACCCGGTAAGGCCAGTGTCCAGCTAAAGGATTAGACCCAGAGGGATCTTTCTCCCATTCCAATCTGAGGTGCCTGAGGCTCAGAGAGGGAAGGCCACCTGCCCAAGGTCACACAGCAAGGATGGGGCAGGAAGCTGAATCTTATTTCAGGTCTGACTGTCATCCAGACTGCTTCCCACAAGGGCCAGGATGCCCTCAGCACCTGCTGCCCCCTCTCTTTCGGCCTCCAATCTCCAAAAATTCCCTTCCTTTCAGAGAAAAAAAAACACACCCAAAAACCTTAGTGTCTGAGTTGGCCCCGTCTGGGCCTGGATATCCCAGGAGTCTGGTTTGAAGGAACTTGGGGACAAGATGAAATGAAGTGATAAGGGCACTCCCCTGTGCCAGCCTCTGCTAGGTAGACTCCGGATCCTGGAAATGGAGATGCGCATGGCCCAGGTGCCACCTCAGCAAAATGAGGCCCTTCCCTCGCCCCCCTTCCCTCCGGCCCAGTTCCCTGGTTTCTAGGCCTCCGTCCCCCATTACAATGGGGGGCTCTTATATAAAGATGCTATTTTCAGCCCTTTGTTCTTCACGCTGCTTTACTCTGATGCCAGGACCACAGGCTCCCCCCACGTCTGCCCCAAATGCACAGGGAGAGGCCTGAGGCGGGTGGAAAAGCTGAGCACTAAGTCACAAAGGCTCCTCAAGGTCACAGGGGGACCAGAGAGGGAGGAGTGAGAATAAGAGAAAAAGGAGCCCGGCGGGTGTGGCTCAGTGGTTATGCGTCGACCAACCCACGATGCCCCAGGTTGGTCAGGGCCCCCATCCCAGGCTCTCACACCACCTTCCACCACTTATCAGAGTGTGAATTCTGTAGATGATTTGAGGCTGTCTCCCCAGTGGACTTGCTGAGCTTCAGGAGGGCAGGCGCAGTGTCTTGCTCACGGCTATAGTGCTCCACTCAGTCTGGCATGCAGGAGGCGCTCACGGAAGCCTGCTGAGTGAGTGAGTGAGTGAATAGATGGGTTTCTTCTGCTCTCCCTGGGGTCTGAGACAGGGCTGAGCTTCTCCACCCTCCTTTAGCCTGGCTGAGGAGGGGCATGGAGGCCATGAGCAAGGAGGCTGATGCAGCAAAAGGCTGACAACCACCCCTGCACCCCCTTCTCACCTTCCTGCAGGGGGAGAAGGGCAGTAAGGCCTTTAGAGGCAGGGGCTCACCCTTAGGCAGGCCCAGGGAGCCCCTTCCAGGCAGAGAGGCTGGGCATGCAAAACCTCTCAAATCCAGGTGAAAAGGGGCTGTGGTTAAGGCTGGGGCAAGTCCCAGCGGCGCCCCACACTCCCAATGGCATCTGCTCCATGTGTACCAGGCTGGCCGTGACCTCTATAACCCTTTTCCTCTGCAGTGCCCTTTGCCAGCCTTGAGAGTAGCCATAAAATCAACTTCCATGAACTCCACGCCTGCAAGTCCACGCCTGATCTCACTGAATCCTCAGGACACCCACAGAGGGCTGGGCTTTCAGCCGAGTACACAGATGTGGACACTGAGGCTCCCAAAGCTGACGCCACCTGTCCAAGGTGACGCGGCTACTAGTCAGGCGAGTCATGTGTGGGACTGCAGATCCCATGCACTGAAGGCCTCTGCCCAGTCTGCTTGCACGAGATGAATTCGGAATTGCCAGGCAGGCCGCCGTTCTTGCGCTCGGCTCTGCGGGCCGCCTCCTTCATGGGAGAGGAATGATATTGTTTGGAGGCAGCAGAAATTCCCAGGCTGCGTCTCTATTAGGCACATGGGAAATAAACACAATCTGTCGCTGGGGGAGGGCTGCATCTGATTTCCATTGATCGACTGCGTGTGGTTGAGGGAAAAGGCTGCACAAGGAGCCACATCTGACCTGGGATTGATCAGCGGGCAGCATGAGCCAGGGGATTCGGGCAGAATGGAAACTGGCTCCATTTGGAGCAACTGTCTGGGGCATCTGGGTCACCGGTAGCCAGTCGCCTGCCACCCTGCCTGTCCAAGCGCCAGGCAAAGGACATTTTCCTATGACAAGGGAGGAGTTAAGTTTAGGAGGCCAGAATGTTAGAAGAGAATCCTGAGTGGCCGGGAGTGCGGTTTCATTTCAGCTTCTGCTCCACATTTCCTGGGCTCCCACTCTGTGCCAGGCCCTGGGCTGGCACTGGGGACACAGACAGGAGAAAGATGTGGTCCCTGCCTGCACCCCACCACCTCTCCCTGTTTACCTGGGGAGACAAACTCCAGAAGAGGCTGAAGCACCTGACAGGCATATTAATGGAGGTATTAGTGTGAGCTCCATGAGGTCAGGGATTTGGGCCGTAAGAAAGAAATGTTTTAGGCAATTGTTCATCCAAATTGGAGGGTTGTTTGTTACTCAGCATCGCTTCAGCCAAAGCTCACGAATACATGGCATTGTTGCAGACCAGGGCCTGGCACTTACTCAGTGGTGAGTATACATTATTTTTCAGGCTCAGTCTCTGGAGTAATGCTGCAGCCCTCGACCGAATGCACAGAGACGTGGTGGGAATACAGGGTTGCCATTCCTTTCGGTGCCTCCCCTTGAGTGTTTCCCAGCATCTCCCCACAGAGAGAGGAATCTGAGATAGAGGAGCCTGGGGTGGGGGTGTCTGCCTTGGTCAAATAGATGGGAAGACTGAGGCCGACAATGGGTAAAGGGCATACTGCATGGTAGGGACACAGCAGAGGGGCTGTGGGGCTCCTGACACCCAGGATGGGGCTGGTGCTCTGTACTCCTGCAGGAGGACTTCCAGGAGGAGGTGTTTCTGTCCTGTGGCTCCACACACAGGCAGCAGGAGGTGCCCAGTCCGAGCCCTGCCGTGTGTGGAAGGAGGGGGTTCCCAGGAGACACCAAGGCCAGGACTAGCCAGGCAGCAGAAAAAGCTGGTGCCTGCAGAGCTCATCATCACACCCCTTAGCAGCTCAGGCTGCACAACCTCCCAGGCCCTTCCCGGGACTGAACCTGTTCTTGGTTCAAACCCACCCTCGTCTATTCTCAGCGATCAGAGGCATCTGTTCAAGCTAAGCCAGACTATGTCAGCCTGGCTCTAACCTGCCAGTGGCTCCCATCTCAGAGTCAAAGTCAACATCCAGTCCTCAGCACCGACCTGCCAGGGCCCTTCCCTGCACGTACCCTGCTCCAGCCGCACGGCCCCCTGGACTTTGCTCAGACACTCCAGGCCCGCTCCTGCCTCAGGGAGCACCCGCTGTTCCCTGTTTGAAGTGCTCTTCCCAGCAGTGGGCGATGGGCATGGATATCTCCCCGACCCCTTCCCCGTCGGTACTCAGGTGTCACTTTCTGATCGATCACCCAACCCCGTCCCAAATCCCCTTCCTGCTTTATTTCTCCCCTTAGCACGTTTACCACTTATATATACTGCGCATTTCAGTGGTTTATCTCGCTTACGCCCCAGCATGACCCCAAATTCCACTGTGGAAAGGATTTCTTTGCTGTTCATACTGTATTCCAGCACCTAGAACTGTACACAGCACATAGTGAGCACCCAGTCAGCACTGTTATCAGAACAGAGGAAGAGAAGGAGGGAGGGAGGAGAGAGAGACAGACTGACAGACAGACAGATGGATAATGTTAACAAGCAGCTGGTGGGCTCCTCCAGGGAGGCATCACAGCCAGGCCACGGGGGTTTTTTATGTTTGTACTGTATTCCAGCACCTAGAACTGTACACAGCACATAGTGAGCACCCAGTCAGCACTGTTATCAGAACAGAGGAAGAGAAGGAGGGAGGGAGGAGAGAGAGACAGACTGACAGACAGACAGATGGATAATGTTAACAAGCAGCTGGTGGGCTCCTCCAGGGAGGCATCACAGCCAGGCCACGGGGGTTAACAGCAGCAGCTCAGAGGCCAGCAGGCCCGGGGTGCATCCTGACTCTACCACTCACTGGCTGAGCAACGCTCAGCAGCATGGAGCAAGTCACTTCTCCTCTGTGAGCTTCTCTGTAAAATGGAGATCGTAGCACTGTCTACTAGTTACTGGGAGGGTCAAAGAAGATATGATTGGAAAGCATGATGCCAGTGCCATGGCAAACTCCTGACAAATGCCAGCTACTATTATTAAGAAAGGCCCCAAGTATGGGCCAGGCTCTGTGCTAAGCATCAGGGATACAGTCGCCACCTTCAAGCAGCCCAAGGTCAAGGTGGGTAACAGGCCCGGCTGGTACAGATTATTAGAATATAATGAGACAAGAGCCATGACAAAGGGAAATCCAGGGTGCTGGAGGAGCCAGAGGCTAAAAGTCTGGAGAGAATCAGAGAAGTCTACTCGGAAGAGGTGGCAGGTGAACTAAGGGCCAAAGAACACACAGGAGGCAGCCAGGCCGTGTAAAGTGGGAAGGAGAACATCCAGGCTGACAGAGTGTGTGACATATGAAGGGCCAAGAGGCCTCTCCACAGCTGCACAGCACAGAAATTACATCCTCACTTTACACATCCTCAACCTGAGCTCAGAGAGGTGACACCACTTCCCGAGGTCACACAGCAAGGAATGGCAGAGCCTGAGGAAACCTGGGGAGAGAGAGTGAGCACCAAGAAGAACCCCAGAGCCCTCCGTGGCTGAGTGCAGACATAAGGGGGTGGCAGGCGGGAAGGGCCACAGGCCCTCTACCTCTGCCCCAACTAAGGGACTCCCAAAGCCCCACCCAGCCGAATGGACGGTACCTCCATCAGGTCTATAAGCCACAGCAGCCGCTCCTGGGGAGAAAGGATGGGCAAAAGGCAAAAAGAAAAATACATCAAATAAATATTAGGGATGGGGTGGGCACAGAAAAACCCCCAAACCCATGCAGGCATGCACACACACACACAGGAAAAATAAACACGATTCTCTTTTTTCACTTCGAAGGCTTTGGTCAGAGGTAATGGAAGGATGGGGAAGAAAAGGCCCTGTTGCTTCGTTCATTCTAACTGCCTGCGTGAAGGAAACCTCACTGCTCTGCAGAAATGACACTCGTCCTCGAGAAGGACCTTCAGGAGATGGTCATTCACCTTGGGGCAATCCTGGGACTCTCCAGCAGGTGGCGCTGCGGTCATTATTCCCATTTGGCAGATGGGAAAAAACAAACAAACAAAGGAGGCTCAAGAAGGGATGTGACTTGTTCAAGGTCACACCTGCTAATGAGAGGGAGAGCCTGAAGGAGGACCCTGTTCAGAAGACTTGATCAGGGGAAACCTGGATCTCCAGGGCCGAAGCCTGTGCAGCAGGAAAGCTCAGAGTCTGAGAAAAGGAGCCCTGGCTGTGCATGTGGAGGGCCCTGGGTGGGATGCAGATTAGAGAGGGTGTGGCAGATGCCCAGCCCAGCGCTTTCCAGAAGCCTCCCTGTGTCTGCAAGGCCCTGGGTGCAACTCCTCAGGGGGGTCTTCCCAGCCAGGCTGGGAAAGGACGGAAAGAACTGAGGCTTCACCTGCCCTGGGCTGTGGGCAGCATCTCTGGGTGCTGGCACTAGCAGGGAGGGGCATCCTCCAACAGCTGGGGAAAGCAGCTCCGATGCAAGGGGAGAAACTGAGGCACAGAGGGGTGAAGTGACCTTTCCACGCTGCCTCTCCTGCCTGGGCAATCTTCCTTTAGAATCGACCTCTGAACCTGGCAGTGCAGTTAAGTGGTTCAGCATTGACCCATGAACCAAGAGATCCCCAGCTCCATTCTGGTCAGGGCACGTGCCCAGGTTGCAGGCTTGATCCCCAGGAGGGGGCATGCAGGAGGCAGCCAATCGATGTCCCTCTCATCTATGTTTCTATCTCTCTAGCCCTCTCCCTTCTTCTCTCTAAGCTCTAATTAAAAAAGAAAAATAATAATAAAGAAGAATGCATCTCTGAGAGCTCACTCTGGCCTTGGTTAGTCCTAATCTGACATGCATGTGCTACCTGGTGGGACACAGACTTCCATAGCTACTCACATCTGAAGCTTGGGGACCCCTTCCATCCGTTCCCCCAAAGCTTCCTGCTCCAAGTCATCCCATGGCCTTTCTGAACTCTGCCTTCCCCAGGGTGCCCCAATCTGCAGGGTCTCTCTGGCAGGGCAGGGTGAACTGCCACACCTGTGGCTTAGCCTGGCCACGGGCAGCACTTTTCTGGGCTGGGACCCCTGCCCAAAGCCCTTCCCGGGCATAATAGTCACCCTGGCTCCTCCGAGTCCCGCAGCCTAATCTTCCCTCAGGGCCTCGGGCTACTGTGGCCAGCACCAGCAACAACGTCAGACCATTTTACACATGGGAAACTGAGGCCCAGAGAAACCACGGCTAAACCTAAATCTTCTGCCTCCCAGGCTAGAACACACCCCATCCCAGCACCCCAGAATTGGAGCCTGCAATCCCCCCGACCTCGGGTTTTACAGCAGTGACTCGGTACCCTGCAGCCTCATGGGGCCATCATCAGGGCACATCAGAGAGTGTACACAGGTGGGGACAGCTCCTCCCTGCCCCGGAGTGACCTGCTCATCCCAAAGCATGATATCGTCTCCCCCGAAGCCACATCCAGAGCCTACAGGAATGCACAGCAGCTTCCGGGGTCACCCCAGGAAGGGATTAGGACCCCTGGGGATAAAGGTGACTCAGTGGTAGAGGTAGGAGGCAGAGGAGTAGAAGATCACCCAGAGCTTTAAAAAAAAAAAAAAAAGCCAGGCTGAGCTGGGAGCTGGGATCTGCAAGGAGAAGGTATGCCCACTGCAGCTGCTTCCCAGTGGCTGCAGGCCCCTCTGTGCCCACTAACCACCTGCGTCCACAGCCCTGCACATCACTGCACCCTCAGAGCTCCAGCTCCTGCAGCAGGACAACGTCCCAAGTCTAATTAAGACTCTACTGCGAGAGTTGCCATTTCGCCATCTGGGAACAATATGCTGAGGCAACTCAACCATCCTCCCTTTTCACGGAGAGTGGTGAGGAGTGATCCAGGCAGGAAGGGAGAATATGGAGCCCAGTCAGATCTCCCGACCTCCCTCCCGGCTCTCCCGCTCACCCCGACAGGGACAGCAGTGACGGGATTTTCCCTGTAAGGGACGGCAATCCATTTCCTCTGCCCCTTCCTTGCTAGACCTCCTGGGATTAATTTGCCTCCGAGCATCCTGAGGGCAGAACCACGCCCCAAGATGGACCACATGCTCTTGGGGGGAGAGGGGGGTTGGAGAGTGTAGGAGAAAACCAGGCTGGGTGTGGGCTTCATGACAAGAGGGCGTGTCTTGGGGAAAACCCAAATCGCCACGCCTCTTCTGCTGTGAGCGCCCCCCTCAGTTTCTCATGGAGCCTCCCTCGGATTATCATTATTTTTCCCACCTGTCTCATTAGCTTTGATCTTTTCTTTCTCCCCCAGCCCAACACCCCCCCCCCCCCCCCAAAAATGAGCCAGGGCCATATCTCTTCTCTCCTAGAGCCCGTGCTTGGCACGCAGCAGGCCCTCCACTTTTATGAGGTTTTTACAGGTGCAGAAACTGAGGCTCAGAAAGGCAGGCAGAGAGCTGGCAAGTGGTGGTGCTAGGATTTGAACCCGATGGTCTCACTCCAAAGCCAGGACAGTCGCCCCTCAGTATCCGTGGGGGACTGGTTTCAGGACCCACATGGATACCAAATCGTTGGATGCTCAAGTCCCTTCTGTGAAAGGGTACAGCACTGCATACAGGCTTACGACAGAGTGCGCCCGGCATCCCTTCATTCACACGCATCCAGCCTAGTGCCTGATGCACGGCAGGTTCGTTTTGCATTTGGGGTCTTTTTAGGGTTTGTTTTTCCAAATTATTTCCAATCCATGGCCGGCTGAATCCACAGATGGGAAACCCATGGATACGGAGGGCTGACTGTCTCTTTACTTTCCCTCTGGCCACTGTGCAGGGACGGGGCAGGGACGCTCACCCTGGCCGAGCTGACGGTGGTGGAGGTGCCGTGGCTGCCTGTGGACGAGCCTGTGTCACTGTAGGAGACCATGGAGTAGGTGTCACCGGGCCCAGGGCCGGGGGGCTGCCGCGCCTTCATCGACTCGATCTCCCTCCTCAGCACCAGGTGATCAAAGCGGTCCAGGTCTTGGGGGGAAATGGTGCCTCTCACCTCAGAGAGGAGCGAGAACTGGAGGCAGGGACAAGTGGGGCACTCAGCAGGGAGCCCCACCAGCAGGTGGGATGGCTCCTGCTACCCCCAGTGACCTGCATGCCACCTTGACTACCGGCCTCCCCTCCTCAACCCTCAGTGGCTCCCCACTGCCCTCAGGACAAAGTCCAACACCTTGGCCCGGATGCTGGGCCAGCACCCTCTGGCTCCTCCTCCCCGGCACCTTAGCAGGCATGACTGCAGCAACCGGAACACACCGGAAGCTCCTCCCCCCACTTCTCTCCCAACTGCACTGCCTCTGTGAGGTCTTCCCTAATGCAACCACGCCCAGGGGGTTCCTCACTTCTTCCTTGTGCAGCCTCGGAACCTCAGGCTTCCACCAGAGCGGGTTCTCAAAGCCGGCAGCACGGCAGGCACCGGGCTTGTAAGAACTGCCGGTGGCCTACGCCCACCCACAGATGTGCATGCAGAGTGAACAGGCCAGGGCGGGGCCCAAGCGTTGCTTTTTTTAAAAATCCTCACCCAAGGATATTTTTTCCATTGCTTTTTCAGAGAGAGAGAGTAGAAGGAGGGAGAGCGGGAGAGAAAGAGAGAGAGTGAGGGAGAGAGAGAGAAAGAGAAAGACAATGAAGCGAGAGAGATAACACATTGATTGGTTGCCTCTGGCACATGCCCAGAACAGGGGGAGGGGGGCAAACAGGGAGTGAACCCGCAACCCAGGTAACATGCCCTTGAATGGAAATCAAACCTGTGACCCTTCAGTGTGCGGGCCGACGCTCTAACCACAGGACAACATTGGCCAGGGCCCAAGCACTGCTTTTTGAAAGCAATCCAGATGATTCCAAATGTGCATTAAAAGCCACTCTGTTAGTTAGGGCCTCGATCACAGGAGACCGTAAATGACTGTCTCCCCAGGAGTCTGTGGGCTTCCCCGGGCAGGGGACCATCGTGGTCACCAGTCTCTGCCCAGGGTTCCGTTAGGCCTGACTCCTTGTGGATTCTTAGTAAAGGAGCGGGGACCTCGGGAGGCAGGGAGGGATGCAGAGCCCTTGAGAGCTGCAGCCAGGCCCCAGCAACCCCCGCCAGCCTCTCCCTTGCCCAAGGAGGGGTGCCGGTCACCTTGGCGTGGGTGTTGAGCAGCTCGAACAGGGCCATGACCAGGGCCTCCACGGAGACGCTGCCGCCGCGGTACTCCTCCAGGTAGTAGGCCATGGTGGCGCGCTCCTGCTCGTTCAGCAGGTGCCGCGCCTGCTCCTCCAGCAGCACGCGCGTCTGGTTGCCCAGGCTGCTCAGGGTCACCTGGGAGCCGGCCGGCCCCTTGTAAAATCCCAGCTGAAAGACAGGAAGATGGAGCTGCCCTGGAGACAGTGGCCAGGCCCGGCCAGCGACCACGCTGCCGGGGGATGAGGTCGGTCCCTCCATGGTCTTGTCCCCTGCCTCCCCCCCTCCTCCCCTCCCCACCCCGACAAACCTGCAGGACACGCTACCGATACGTGCTGAGGGCATGTGGCCTCTGCAGTTGCAGTTTTATGTCTTACATGGCACTTGTACACGTATCATCAGGTCCTCGTGACCATTCAGAGGGAAGCAATGTTATTAGGGTTCCCGTTTAGTCCTCTAGGTCTCAATCTCTCCCTTATTAAATTGGGGGTAATAGTAACTTTATTTCCAAAATACACTTAGATGGGCACACACACACACTCCAGCCCCTCCCGCCACTGTCTCTACCATCATCAGCGTCTAGGATGCCACCGGTCTGTCCTCTGCCTCTCCCTGTCACCACACACACAGCAGCTGAAATGATCCTGTGAAAACACGATCTCATTTTGCTCCCTGCGTAAGCCCTCCAACGGCATCCCATCATTTCAGGTGAGAAGCCAAACCCTGTGTGAGCTGGCCACCCACCTGCGGTCATCCTGTCCCCGCTCCCCCTTGCTCACTGCACTCCCAGGCTCTCCCTTCTTCCAACAGGCCACGCCCTCTGCCTGCCGGGGGCTCTGGCACAGGCTGCGGCCTCTGACTAGGTCAGCCCCTGCGGCTCCTGCACCAGACTTTCTCTCACTCACTTCTCTCTGACCTTCCGTTCACAGCCTAAATATCGCCTGTTCCTACTTCAGACAGCCTTTCCCTGTCTCAATTAGGTGTCCCATCTGTCATTCTCTCGTAACACCCAGCACCTTGTCGTGATGGCAGTGAGCCTCTCCTGTGATTGGACATGGGCGTAGTTCGTTTTGTTCTTACGTGCGTCTCCTTCACTGGGGGTGACCTCCTTGAGGGCAGGGATCTGATCTGTTCTGTTCGTGGCTGTTAACCCCGGTGTCTGGGATGGTGTCCCGGGGGTGCCCAGAGCCGGGAGGCACTCACAGGCATGTGTGGGATGGAAGATGGACAGACAGACTGCCCAAATGAATGAGCTCATGTGTGTGAGTCGCTGGCACACATGCCAGGTCCAGAGCTCCCCCCACGGAGCTCAGAAGAAGCCAAGGACAAGGACGCCTGGGGACGGAGGGCTCCCTACCTTGTCTGCTCCTTCTGTGGTGGGATCCCCAGGAAACCTATGGAGGAAGACAAGCATGGTCAGCCGCACGTCTGAGCAGTTCAGACGGGCACGGGCAAGGAAAGGGTTGATCTGCAGCGGGGTGAGCAAAGCTTTGAGAGAACTGCGGCCTCCACTCGCTGGGGCTATTAATTAACATGAACCCCTGGGCAGATGGGCAGTTCCCAGCCTCCCAGTCAGGCCATGTGGACAGCAATTCTAAAACCAGGCACCTACAGTCCAGGCAGGACAGGAGAGAATAAGGTTACAACTGATCCGTGGCCTCGGGGTCAGGCCAGTCCTAGGAAGGGGGGCGGGGCGAACGGAGCCTTAGAGATGCGACTCGGCTGCAGCTGGGTTTTTAAGCAGCAGCCGGAAATCCAGTTTTTTTAAAAAAAATGGGAAACCTGGGACCTTTTTAAATGTTTGTAACTAATTTAAAAAATTATAATACTGTGTAGACAAAAAGGGAGAGAGAAGGAAGAGAGAGAGAGATGCGCTGGGTGTGCTTGGCCTGGGAGGGGCACCACCCAGTCTGAGACTTGGGATGGAAATCCAAAGGTGACACATTCCAACAGTAGTAACTACTCAGCCATCCAGCAATGACATCTCATCTGAGACTCTCCCACCCGGGTAACTTCTGAGATTCTCACAGACCCGGGAGAGGGGCAGGGTTTAAGACTCACTTTTCAGACAAACAACTAAGGGCCCAAAAATAAGGTAAGTGACTCGCCAGAGGCCAACGAAGAACAAGAGAGCTGCGTGGTGCAGTTCAGCTTTCCCTGGGAAACGGGCCAGGAGAGGAGAAGGGACGCGCCCAAGGTCGTGCACGGAAATGAAAGGGACCTGGGCTGAGAACTGGTGTAATCTTTACAGATCAGGACGTGGTGCAGGGGCGGGAGGAGGACGCAACTGGCTCTCAGAGCGGGCCCCGGGGTCCTGAGGCTCCGCGTAAGCAGTGGGGCCTGACCCTGCTGAGTTCGTGGCGGGGTCCCCAATCCGGGAACTGGCGATCCACTTGGTCTCGTCCACGGTGGTGCGGGCGTGGGGCAGCCTCCCCACGTCCTTCACCGTCAGGATGAGGTGCTGGGATGACTTGAGCAGCCTGACGGCCTCGTCGTGCAGGATGTTGAGAAAGCTCCGCCCGTTCACCTCCAGAATCTGGTCCCCGACCTGCCAAGACCACAGCACAACACAACACAGTCACCTGGGCTGTTTGCAGGACACAGACTCGTGCCTGGGGCGTCAGAGCCCTGGTCCTGTCCTAGTTCTCCTGCCGGCCAGCCTGCCGAGGAGGAGGTCACCGAGGCTCAGAGAGGTTGTGCGGGTGCCTGAGGGAGACTCAGCAAGTCCATGGCAGACAACCTTCCAATCCCGATCCTGAGCCCATGCTCCTGTCACCTCTTGACCTAGCAAGGGTTTGAGGGGTGAGTCTACCACCAGCTTCCCAAGGACCCCCTTATCCAGAAAACAACAGCCCCCTCAGGGGCCGGGGTAGAGTGGGGTGGGGTTGGGGCAGGATGAAGCGAGAGGCGTGAAGGCACACTTCCGTCGCTGCCCTCTGCGCTGCCCCGCTGCGGAGAGCTTTACCCCCAGCACGCATTCTCACATCACCTCCAGATGTACACAACATTCTCATTTACTCCAGAAAACAGGCAGTAAATGGGGAAGCCAGCCTCTCATTAAAGCAATAACATACGCTGGGATTCTTATAACATGCAGGGCATTTTATTTCGTAATGAAAAGACACGCGTTTTTAATGAAAGGATTAAAAAAACAACAACGCCTAACCTTCCAATAAAAAGAAATATGTGACAAAAACAGCCGAGGTTGGTGGGAAGGTGGTGTGGTGTGAGTTGGGGACATGTGAAGACTTGTGTCTTGTTTGAACTCGGGGGGCGGGGGGGTCTGGCGCTCCCCTTCCTGTGATGCTGGGGGGTCTGCAGCTCAAGGCCAGGAAAGGGCTGCGCAGCGTCACCCCCACCGAGGCCGTGAAGGGCAGCCTCGGAAGCCGGTTATTCCAGTTATTCGTGGCTGCTCTGCCTTCTCCCCAGGTCCCCTGCCTGCTGACGGCTCATGACCAACCCCCAGGTGGATTTCCCAGCATTTTTCAAAGCAGGTTTAGCGAAGGCGAGCCAAATGGGAATTTGGAAGAAGAAAGGGAGGGAAACAGATGTGATGTCAAGGCTGAGAAACAACACCCTGGTCCCCAAGACCCTTTCTTTTAACATCCCTGCTGCATCGGGGAGTTCCCAATACAGGGTGGTTACAAAGGCAGACTTCCCCCGTCTCCCCTGTGCCAGCAATGCTGTGTGCGGAGGGGGCCCATGCGCCCCTGCCTCCGCAGCCCATCCCACAACGCTCACTACTGCACACCAGTCAGCGCCAGGCTCTGCTGGGAGGCTGTGTGCACCAGACCAACCGCTCCTGCTGCCTAGTTGAGCGTGGGCTTGGTCTTGTGCTATCAGTGGGCTTTCCCGTCAGCCTCTCCACACTGTATCCCCAGGGCCCAGAACACAGTGGGAAGAAAAATTCATCAAATGAATGAAAAGCCAGACACCCATCCCCCTCCACGCCTTGCTCTGGGACCATTTCTGCCGCAGCCCAGGGGGGACCAGCACATCACACCAGCCTGGAGTCCCAAATTTCAAACCGCAGTTGCCCAGATGCTGACTGTGTCCCAGGCACCTTCTCTGTCCCTTTACATATTCTTTTTCTTATTTAGTACCTTCAGCATCCTGAAGAGCAGGTATCATTGCTCTCCATCTCACCAGAGAGAACACAGAGGCTCAGAGAGGTTAAGTACACAGAGGGTGGTCACTGAACTAGTGGGGAGGACAGCGAGGGTGCAGACCCCGCAGGCCGGCCCCAGGGCCCCAATGCTGCCAGGAGCTCTGCCTGGGGACACGCGGCATCTCTGCAAATCCAGCAGGTCCAAAGCCACCGACCTGCCTTCACGCCCTGGCCTTCCCTCAGCACCCAGCTCTGACAACCCACCCTTCATTCCCCTGAGCAGATCCTTCAGGAAGTCGCACCAACCTTCACCTCCCTCCACCCCTCCAGCCCCCAACCTGGGTCCCTCTCTCCTCGCACCGGGGCTCCTGAGCCAGCACCCCACCTCCGGGCATTTACACCCAAACTGGCCTCAGACCTCGCACCAAGTTAATAATTTTCCCTCCACTTTTTACTTTCATGACATCCCTCCTTTCTTAAATACTTCCAATGACCCCCCCGCCACCCCGGGCCCACAATCCAGGGGGCAGCAAAGCATCATGGTTAAAGGGTTTCAAAGACCATCAGAACGGGGTTCAAACGCTGACTCTGCTCCTTCCATGCCATGTGAGCTCAAGCAAATCCCCCAATAGCTTTTGTGCCTCAGTTTCCTTGGGTGTAAAAAGGGGTGCTAGCCCAGGACTGTCCTCCAATTTCCTAGTCATCAGCACCTGTTCCCCCTGCCACCAACAATATCACAGTTCTCTCCCTCTCTGCCTCCCTGAGCTCCCTAGCTGAGAACCCCGGGCCCCTGAGAATGTGGGCAGCCCAGGTGGACTCCTTGGAAAGGGCTTGGCACGGCAAGTGCTCAGTAAGTGCTTTTGCATGAAGGAGTGGGTTTTGCCACTTCCCACCTGGCTCGGCAGCCCCTCCCAGCCTCTCCCCCCAGGGGCTTTCTCAATGCCAAGAAGCAGTGCTGTGGTGACATGACTGTGAGTGAAGGGGAAACGGCGCCCTGCTGGGCCCGCTTGCACTCAGGGCATGGCAGTGGGGCCTCGCTTCCCTCCTTCCCTCCTGAGTAGCGGAGGCCCCACCGCTCCCCTCTGTCCAGCTGCTCCCCCAGCCGAAGCCCAGGCCACACTCTCCATCAGCTGAAGTGCTGTTTTCCTAAGGATCCCTCTCAACAGCTTTAGCTTTTGTTACTAAGCGAAGAGAATCCATTTTAATCTTCCCCACACACATGACTTCATCCCAGTTTAATTTTAAAAAGTAGCAAGCCTCTGCCTGCAGGGCTGGGCCCGGAAGGGGGCTCGGAACAAAGGAAAGGGCGACTCCATCCCAGGGCATCCACCTGGCCCTCCTCGGGAGGCTGGTGGGGGGAGGGGAGTGTCCCGACACTGCATGGCACCTACGTCTGCTACAAAAATGTGCTCGCGGTTTATCTGGAATCAGATGTAAACGGGCGTCCTGTATCTTTATCAGCTAAACCTGGCGAACCATGTCAGTCACCACGGGGCCAATGGTTTCCGGGGTGGGGGTTGCGTCTGCGCTATGGTTACCAAACTTCACTTCTTGTCCCTGAGCCCGGCTCCTGTCCTGTGTGCGGTCCCTGCATGCCCAGCACACCACTTACTTCTGCCTCCTCCTCAGCATGAATATCTGAGAAGTCACAGGTTTTGCTGTGCTAGTCACATTCCCCCCCAGGCCTGTTTAATAAACACAGATTTGAGTCCTGAACAGCCGAGCCCGTTCCAGAAGGGCAGAGCCTAGCCCCAAAGATGGAGCCTAGCCCACGAGCCTAGCCTCGTCCGAAATAGCCTCACCTAGCCCTGGGAGCCGACCTGGTCCAAACACAAGAGAGAGAGAGAGACACCCACCCCTGGGAGCCGACCTGGTCCAAACACAAGAGAGAGAGAGAGAGAGAGAGAGAGAGAGAGAGAGAGAGAGAGAGATTGATTTGTGAGAGGCAGCTCACGTGTGACCCACCTGGGGAACAGGTGTGAAATAGGAATTGTACTCGGGAAACCCCAAAGGAATGGGGGTACGTGAGCCCGTCTTCCTCATCTCTCTCCAACCCTCTCTTGTCTTCCTTCTTCCTCCAGGGCCTGTTTTAAACCTGAAGTTCTGGACGGGGCTGGCCTTGGGGTCCCCACACAGCCCTCGACAGCGCTCGCGGTTTATCTGGAATCAGATGTAAACGGGCGTCCTGTATCTTTATCAGCTAAACCTGGCGAACCATGTCAGTCACCACGGGGCCAATGGTTTCCGGGGTGGGGGTTGCGTCTGCGCTATGGTTACCAAACTTCACTTCTTGTCCCTGAGCCCGGCTCCTGTCCTGTGTGCGGTCCCTGCATGCCCAGCACACCACTTACTTCTGCCTCCTCCTCAGCATGAATATCTGAGAAGTCACAGGTTTTGCTGTGCTAGTCACATTCCCCCTCAGGCCTGTTTAATAAACACAGATTTGAGTGCTGAACAGCCGAGCCCGTTCCAGAAGGGCAGAGCCTATCCCCAAAGATGGAGCCTAGCCCACGAGCCTAGCCTCGTCCGAAATAGCCTCACCTAGCCCTGGGAGCTGACCTGGTCCAAACACGAGAGAGAGAGAGAGAGAGAGAGAGAGAGAGAGAGAGAGAGAGAGAGAGAGATTGAAAGAAAGAAAAGAAAAGAAAAGAAAGAAAGAAAGAAAGAAAGAAAGAAAGAAAGAAAGAAAGAAAGAAAGAAAGAAAGAATGAGTAAGAAAGAAAGGAAGAAAGAAAAATAGATTTGTGAGAAGCAGCTCACATGTGACCCACCTGGGGAACGGGTGTGAAATAGGAATCATACTTGGGAAACCCCAACTGAATGGGGGTACGTGAGCCCATCTTCCTCGTCGCTCTCTAATCCTCTCTTGTCTTTCTTCTTCCTCCAGGGCCTGTTTTAAACCTGAAGCTCTGGATGGGGCTGGCCTTGGGGTCCCCACACAGCCCTCGACAGCATCTGGGTTGGTCTCAGACTCCCATTTCTCCGTGTCCAGTTCTCTCTCAAATTCTCTCCTTGTTGGGGAGCTTCCCAAGGTCCGGGGACCTTGTCAGCACAGCTGCCTGCTTGCTCACTGTCATTTGGAGTCCACAAACCAGTTTCAAATAAACCCAGTGTCCCCTGCTGCTCACAGCAGCCCCGTGGGGCCAGCGGGCTACGAAGCCCCATGCCTAGGGTGCAATGGAAACATGCCCCTAGGTCTGAAACCAGGCCACCAAACAGAGGAGCCATGTGGCCCTACACAGCTCTCAAGTACCGTCCGAGACTCAGTGTTCCCATCTGTCAAGTGGGCATGACAGTACCCACACTTTTTGTGAGAACCAAAGGGGACCACTCGGTACAGAGCCTGACACCACAAGAGAGGCTTTCAATAGCTTGTCCTTCGCTTCGCTTCCCTTCCCAACGGAGGCCACAGGTTGGGATGTCAACTGATTTGTTCAAGG